TCTACATCAGCAAATGAAGAGTATCGTCGTCAACCAGGTACGTATCTGCACTATCCACAGTCTTGATCCCCTTCCGAAGTGACGAAGAATCAGAACAGCCTCATCAATCATGTAGCCCGCCACGTCATCAACATATACAGGTGGCAGCGGCCACATCAGCAATGGCGCATGGTAGCTGCCACGTCAGCATGCCCAGAAGACCATCGCCAGCCATCACCACGCTAGCCAGCAGCGCCTTGCCGTCCTCCTCTGCCAACATAGAGCCGGCGTCAAGATAATGTCGCAATGTCGCAGCATAGCAACAACGTCAAAGTCCACTCGTGAAGTCAACATTCACGCAAGACTGAATGTCCTCCAGCTAGGAAGTCAACTCTTACCCCGCGTGGATGCGGGGTCTGGACCTCGGGTGCTGAAGCCCTGCACCGTGCAGATCTCGTCATGAATGAGGGCCTAGATTGGCCAGGAACTGTATTCCTCCCACCCTGAATGCTGTCTGGGTACCTGCACACAACAAGTGAATGTATCCGACCATAGGCCTGGGTGCGGTACCTTTGACTCTAAAGTTGATTTTGACTGTTGAATTTCTTTTGTGCTGCGTTCGGTCACACAGCCTCCTCGACAGACTCAGGCTGGGCATGTCTCGGTCACATAGCCCAGCACAGACAATTGAGTCTGTGTCTTACTGGGGGCAAAGTTCTGAGCCTCGGTCTGGTGCTGAACAGGGTTATTGCATTCCTGCCGACCCAAATTTCGAGTTCCATCGCAAAAACATTTAAGACTTCAACCCACGTTCAAAAGCAGAGACAATATCAGGAGCAGATTCAAGGAGTTCTCTTTTACTAAACCATCTGTCCTCAGATGGGTTTTGACTCTTAAAACGAACCTTGAATTGCTTCTGGGGTCGTCCTCGTGCACCTGTAGAGAAGAATCCTTGTTCTATAAKTCGGTCCACTTCATATCCACCATCCATATCTGGCGGTATCATAGAYAGTCTATGGGGGAATTCATCTCCTTCTACATAAGGTAGCAACTTAGACTCATGAAAAACAGAATAGGTCTTGAGAGGAGGGGGTATATCGATCCTGTAAGACGGTCCCTCTGCATCTCCAATCACTTAAGAACTTCCCAGGGTCCAAAATAGACAGGCATAAGTTTCTGAGGTACATTTTCTTCTAGTGAAAACTCTTTAGACTTGACCCAGAATAAATCATCTTCTCTGAACGTTGATGGTCGTCGATGCTTATTAGCTTGTTCGATCATCCGTTCCTGAGCTTTCTTTAAGTTTTCCTTCATCTTTTTAATGTCTTCTTGAAACAATACTACGTATTCACGGGTCCCTGGAGGTAACCTAAGAAACTGGTCCCTCGTCAATACATCAATGGGACGCTTAGGTTTCCACCCTTTATGCAGTGTATTAGGTGTTCGTCCTGTAGAGGTATGGACGCTACTATTATATGCACTTGCTATCTTAGGTAAGTCCTCATCCCAATCTATTTGATCGGGTCTTACATACATGCGCAGAAGCTGTTAGCACAAACGGTTCATTTGTTCACTCTGCCCATTCGTTTTAGGGTGTTTACCTGACGAYATGGTTAGACGTGTACCGTATGCCTCCATTAGCTTTTGCCGTGGCATACTTGTGAACCTGGTATCTCGATYAGATACAATGGATAAAGGGAAACCATACTCAGTCACCCATCGCATCTGAAACTTTTGTATCACAAGTTTCGTTCTGGCTTTTTCGGGTAAGGGAATGAACATAACGTATTTAGAGAAACGATCCACAATTACCATTACCTGGCTATTGCCATTTCGACTTTTGGTGAGACTCATGAAATCCATGGAGATAGACTCACCTGGTTCACTTGGAATTGGTAACGGTCTGAGAAGACCAAGTGGATTCTCATGTGGGGGTTTGTTTCTCTGACACACAAGGCAAGTACGAACATAAGTTAGTACATCCTCTTTCAATCCCTTCCATTCAAAGCGTTCTCTAACTTCAGCATAGGTTTTCTTGAAACCAAAATGACCTTCGGCGTCGTGACATTCCCCAATAATCAGACTTTTGATTTCTTCCTGGTGACCATTACACAATCGCTGTTCAGTTTGGTCTAACAAGAAAAGCAAACCATCAGTTATCTTTTAGTTGGGAAGTAGACTTGGGTCTTTCGCAAGGACATCCATGATAGGTTTCCATTTAGGATCATTAACATAGCCTTGGCGAATTCTATCTTTCAGATCATTCACAACGTCTAGGTAAGAGACAATGGCACCAAAGAAATCACATCTTCTAGACAATGCATCTGCAACCACGTTAGACTTACCTTGGATAGTGTTCAACTCAAAATTAAAAGTATCAATGAATTCAGACCATCGTACTAGCTTATCAGAGAGCCTAGGCTGTGTCTTTATCCACTTCAGGGTAGAGTGGATTGAGTACACAGTGAAGTGTCTCCGTAATAGATAGTATTTCCAGGTGTCTAAGGCGAAGACTCACGCATATAATTCCCTTTCATAAGTAGAATTGGCAACCTTTTCAGATGGCAATCGTGCAAACATAAACTCAATTGGTCTGAAACCATTGTCGTCGTTCTGTTGAAGAACTGCGCCAATCCCATACTGACTTGTATCAGTGGTGACAATAAAGGGAAGAGATGGATCAACAATTTTCAGAACAGGGTAGTGAGTCAGAGCGTACTTTACCTTTTTGAACGAGGACTCACAATCCTTGTCCCACAACCAGATCGTTCCTTTCTTTAACAATCTTCTCATTGGTGCAGCGATCAATGTGAAGTTCCGGACAAACTTCCTATAGTAGCTTGCCAAGCCAAGGAAAGATCGTAGCTCAGTTACAGACTTAGGTTGTGGCCAATCTCTAATTGCCGATATTTTCTTTTCTTGGCCTGAGGCCGTCTTGGTTCACTATATGTCATAAGTATAAAACTTTAGACTTAGTGAACTCAGACTTCTTCGGGTTGATTTTGAAGTTGCCTTCTCGCAACTTACTCAAAACCAGACGAAGATGTTTCTCATGTTCTTCCAATGTTTTACTATACACGAGAATGTCATTCAGATAGACGATGACGAACTGGTCCAACCATTGACGAAATAACTCGTTCATTGACGGTTGGAATGTAGCAGGAGCATTAGTCAATCCGAAGGGCATTACCATAAACTCGTAATGGCCATACCTGGTCCGGAAAGCAGTTTTGTGTTGATCTGCGGGCTCCACCTCGATCTGATGGTACCCAGACTTCAGATCAATTTTACTGAAGTACTTGCATCCCTGTAGTTGGTGAAGTAAATCGTCGATGCGAGGGAGTGGTTCGACATTCTTGACAGTGACGACATTCAACCCTCGATAGTCAATATATAGACGCAATTCACCTTCCTTTTTGGGCACAAACAAGACACGTGCTCCATAAGGAGATGAACTAGGGCGAATCCATCCCTTGTCAGTAAGGTCTTGCAGTTGCTGCTTTAACTCCTCAAGTTCCCTGGAAGACATTCGGTAGATAGGGCCCTTATGAACTTTACTACCCGGAATAATCTCAATAGTGTGCTTTATAGCACGTTCAGTAATTTCGGTGGGTTCTTTCTTCAGATCCTTATATTCAGATAGAAGACTTTGAATCGTCGGAGGACAGGA